CGACCTGATAAAGACCCCTTTATGTTACCATATTTGGCCAAATGATGGTTGCATGTATAGTACGTGTGAATATTAGAAACTTATTTTTAGATGACAAGTGAGACTTAGGTAGTTCAAAAATAGCCAGGGATAAGGACCATGCTGTCTTTTTTTAGAAGACAAAGTACAGCTGTTGCATGAAAAAAAAAAAAAACAAAAACTAGACTCTCCCTCAGAAAAACTGAATTCCAGAAGAATGTCAACAAGGTCATAAAAACAGATTGGATAAGAAAAATTATTCTGATTTAAGTATGTGTGTCACCAAACTCGCTGACTATTCTTATTCAGCTATTCAACGAGAAAAGAAAGGCATCTGGAAGCACTGTTGGCTTGTTGCAGTTCTGTGAATTTTGTTTAAGAATTTCTCCTCTTCTTGGTAGAAATAAAGTGGGAAAGCAAGAGTACAGAGAGGCATTGCAGCAAGGGCAGGTCCAGAAACCAGTCAGCTACTGGTGGGAGAGCTGATCTGCATAGAAACCTCTGCTGAAGAAAGGGTGGTTTGGTTTTGATCTTCTGGGAATGAACAGCTGATGACATGAAGCATGTGTTGCTTTCTATAGAAAGGTTTTCATTTTAGCAATTGTTCTTGCATTAGTTAAAGAAGAATCTATGTTTACAAAAGCAGTAGCCCTAGAAACCAGAATCTGCTAGCATCGAAGGTAGCAAGCTATCTGAATGGCCTATTTTTATATAAAAATACATGAGTTTTGATAATCAGATTGTATGTACCTTCCAACCAGCCAGTCACTACTGCAACACATTTAGACTAACCAGAAAGAAAGTCACTTTGATGTGCAAAAGTGATGTTTCAAGAGACAAACTGTTTGACTTCTAAATTATTTGCAATTACAATTTTATGCTATTGTGATGTAAATGCATGGCAGGTCAAGTTGACTAATGGGAGATGGCACCTGAGTCATGGAGTCATGAACTAATGAGGAAATAATTACATGGGCTGTAATTAGCTCTTTTGGGGATATGAAAAGGGCTAAAAAAAAGGGAGGGGCAGGGAGGCATTTTAGAGCTATTTAACAAGAGATCTTTGTAATTTCTGAAATCCCGGGGTTTTGAGTAAGAAAGAAACTGTTTCTTATTGGAAATTTTTTTGTTTTAGCACTAAGGTTAATCAACTTACTTGAGGAGGGAGAATTGCTAGGGAAACACAACACAACAGTAATTTCACGTGGGTGTTTTTGGAGCAGCACAAGGCACCTTATTGAAACTTACACATTCATTAGAAACTTAGCTAAGCTATTATAAAGAATGATGAAAATAGTATCAGAAAAGCAGTGCAAGAAGGAACTCAAGCCTATTGGGATTTTCAATAAATACAAAGGACCGGGATTGCTTTAACATAAAGTTAGCGCTATCAAAGCCAATTGCCCTCACACACATCTATACAACCAAAATAAATCCATCTCCAATCAACCTGTAAGCCTCACAGCCAGTAGAATTCTTATGCCCAAAGGAAAGGTTTATTTCTCTGAAACACCAGCTGCTGCAGCCTTGATGTGTAGCTTAAAGTCCATTGATGACAGAGCACACATTGCTTGTCTCAAACCCACAAATACCATTTTTTAGATTGTAGGAAGCGAGTGATGCTCCTTCAAAAATATAAGTAAACCATTTCGACTTCCAGACTATAGATTCTCAAGTAGCCAGTGAAGTTGTCAATGACCAAAACAGGTGCTTCTGATAAATGGCCATTCTCTACAAAGTTTATTGTACTTCTTGGCTACAAAATAAAGTTATTTGTGATGCTCATAGAAAGTTTTAGTGAGAGACCGTAGGCCCAGCCCAGCTGGGCAGAGAAAACTGTTGACATGAGTTCTTCGTTTTAGGCAAAAGAGAAAAGCAATTTGCATTTGCCTGCACAAGAGGGAATTGGTCTTCAGATCTAACAGGTTTGTATTTTTCGTAAACTATTTAATTCAGTGTGGGCATGAAATAGTTTTTAATACTAAGTGATTATTTTGGGGCTAACAGCATGGCTCAGTGTCTTTTCTCTTGGGAATACTACATTTTTAATAGGTAGTCTTTTTCAGAAGCAAAATGAGTAGTAACATTTGTAGTTCCAAACAAATATGAGTTTTAATTAAGAGCCCAATCCCCCCATGTCTTTCTCTGACATCCACAAACCTGGTTTCACTTGAAGTTGTCATGTTCATTATAAATCTGCAAAATGAACACTCACAAGACAAATGAGAGGAAAATACTCATAGGGTACATGTAATTAGCACACAACTTATTATGAATTGTGATGATCTCCCTGATAATTAATCAGCCTTACAGATGATGTCTGGAGATGGTCCAGCCAGGAGACATTTCAACAAATAAGACCAAATTCCTGTGGGAACAGAGGAAGACGTGCTAAAAAATAGGGAGGCAAAAACTACTATCTAGAAGAAATATTTGATAGGCTCTAGATTCAGGCTAATCAAAGCTGGAATCTCAGGGTTCTGCAGAGAGGACAACCATGTGCATCTTTATGGTTATAGAGCATGCTCTATAATATGCTCTATATGGTTATAGGAGCAGCTCTCCTGATATATTGATTTGCCTTCAGAATAAAATGGTTGCAACACACTACCTGTACAGCAACAGGGTGCACTTACCTGTGAAGGAACAAAAATGAGATGCTGTAATAAGGACTTGGGTCTTTCCCCCATAGTCCAGTAGGAGAGGGACTCAGAGCCTATATGTAAGGACAGAGTCACTCTGCAGAAAGGGGTCTCAGAAAAAAGAAGATGCTGAGGGCAAAGCTCTGCATTAGCAGGCCTCTGTTAACCTGAGTCTAAGTTGTTGTGATAGCCCTGAATTTTTTCCCAATAACTGTTTGCCCTTCTTGGTTTCTGCACTCTCCTATAAAATGTAGCTGAAGTAATGCTCAGAATACTTCTCAATAACATGCTGAAGCCCTTACCCAGGAGAAAGGTGCTGAGACAGTTGTGGACCAACTTGCACCCTGCCACCAGAGTGCCCCCAGTCAGACTTGTGTCTCTGGGAGCTTGACTGTCACAAAGAGAGACCTCCAGTCACCTTGTTGCCTCCAGCCACCTCCAACCGCTTGCAACATTTGGTCTAGGCAACAGAACAACACAAGATTGGCCTGAAAAGTATTTCAGCTCATAATTAATTTTCTGGTATTCAGCACACATTGCGCCTTTCCATTGGCATCCACTGCGGAGTAAATTTGGCCATACATGGTTTTAAGTTGTGGTGTTCCTTTATTTGGCCTCTGCATGCTACCAGTTAACACCACAAGTGTCGTCAGCACTGATGGTAATGTGAGATCCAGGTCATTTAGGAACAGATAAGTGATCTCAGTCTGTGCCTGTGCTTAAGAGTGCCTGTGATTAAGAGTAACTGGAACTGACTTTAATTTATTAGTTTTATCTCTCCTCCTACCACACTCTTAAGCACCTGCCTCATAAAATTTCTGCTTGATTGATTAAACACACACAGGCCCCTCAAGCTACAAGAATGCTGCAAGATGACAAAGAAGAGGCAGTAACTGTTCGTGTGCTGTCAAACAGTCTTCCATCAAGGGGGACACACATACAGATGAAAGGGCTGGCCATCTGTCACTAGCAAGTACCCAAACATTATCCAATGGTGCAGTGAAGCTTTCTCTGTCTCTCATCTGTGATATTCATTAGTTATTCCCATTCCATTTATTCTGTACAGTACTTTTTGCGTGTGTATGTTGCACTGCGATGCTGAGTCCATAGAAACCAGCCAACACTTGCTTCATCTCTCACAAAACATAACAACATTTCTCTGTATTATGTATTATTTACCATCACTGCTTTGTACGTGTGGTCAGTAGTGAAGTGTCTTTCTCAAGCTTCCCTTAGAAAAGTAGACTTATGCTGACTTGTTTCTCACACTTTGCAAAGTCATTATGACAAAATGTCCACTTCTTCAGTATTTTGCTAGTGAATTTGCAATCCGTTATACCACATCAGTGCAGCTAAAGATATGCTACAATTCAATCTGAACACACACAAAAAAAAGGAATGTGAGATATTGCAGGTTGTTGCATTCACGATGCTTTACACCTGGAGAGAGAACGATGCTGAAATTTGATTCCAATTGTATTTCCTGCCATTGTCATCAAACTGGTAAGCCCTTCTAACATGTCCAGAGGACATCAGCCTGATAAAGCTTGGCACAGATACACCTAGCTGCTCCCACTAAAATGATGCGACTGTATAGTCTGCACGGCACTGATGTTTAGTCTGCACAGCACTAATGTTTAGTCTGCCACAGTCACGTACCCTGCTTGCTGAAGATTTTCCTGTTACCTCTGTGGTAAAGAAGTGGGGAGGACCTTATGAATCACTCCAGACTTGAGGTCATGCCTCTGTGTCTGGCTACTGCAAAAGCACCTGATGGAGCTGTTGGACAACCAGTAAATGAATTCAGTAAAGCATAAGTCAGCTTACAAAAAAAATTATTGCTGTGCCTCTTGTCAGAGCTGTGCATGTGCTTAATGTACTTGTAGTGGAGTTATTTCTCTTTGGTTCTGCTGGGGACAAACAGCGTCTCAGGGCAGCAGAGGCTTGGCAGCAAGCATAGGCTATGAATTATGATACTCCAGCCCTGAGAGGAGGACAGCAGTCCACACAGAGCAGCCAGGGACAGGCAGAAGGAGGGAATCCTGAGGTCTTCTAGAAATGTAGGTCCAGCTCCCTGTCCTTCCACCCAATTCCTCTTGCTCCTTGCTTGGGAAAGTCACGCAGCTCTCTGCGCTTCAGGCCACTACGTTCTTATGGAGCAGCCACTGAAAGTGTATGGGGCACACTGATAATGAGGCCCAACTGCCTCCACACACGTGATACTCTTCCTTAGCAAATGTTGCCTCTGCAATAGGCTCAATGAATGGTGAAGACTAGCAGGCACCTCAGGTGCATCTACTTCAGCCCCAGTCAGAGCAGGTGGTTCATTACGTTGTCCAATCAGGCTTTGAATAGTCCCATAGGAGATTTCACAGATGGAGATTCCAGTGTTACTTAGAAGCCCTGCTAGTACTGCCCTTAGGTTGGTACCTGGATATTTCATGTGAGTAGTATATTTTTACATGTCTTTTAAGGATATACCCACTGTTCATTCCTCCTGGGGAAAAAGAAGGAAAAAGAAAAAGAGAAGAGAAATATTTGATTTAGTAAAGATTGTAGGAAGAAGAAAGTAAGATTTGGTAAATGGCTTTTTAGAAATGAGTAAATAGCTGTTCTCCTTAATATTTGTTACTAATAATCCAGTTGCAGTTGGATGTGGTTATTTCACTTCATGACTTTTCTTTGTCATTTTCCCAACTATTAAAAAAAAAAAAAAAAAAAAAAAGCAGAATGCACAATTGAAAGAGTTACTGCACAACTTCTAACTTCAGATACTTCAGCTAGCTTTGAAAAGCCAAACTTAAAATGCAATTTAGTACTTCTAATGTTTGAAAAAGTACAAAGGCTTCAAAAAGCCTTTGGAGCAACAGGACTAGAAAACATGTAGGGGCAGAAAAAGGAGAAATAGAAAAATTGTAGGAAAAGCAATTTGCTCAATTTCCCGGTGATCTAAAATGATTTCCTTTGTTATATTTTGAACAAAGTGAACAATCTCTTCCATTGGAAGATGAAAAAATACGTCCACAATGCCTGCCTCTCTCCAAAATCCTTAAGATAGACTAATGCACATATTTTATTTGAACATAAGCACCAGGCAGTAGAGTTTTCCTTACTGTTGGTAGGAGAGTTTACCATACTGATGGTAGGAGATAGTGAGAAAATTTGTCTTAGTTTCTGGGACAATGGAGGCAAGTAAGGCCTTCAAATCCCACGCAATATTTAATGACCATATCCAAGAGGTAATTATGCAGTGAGTAAGGTGGATAGTGTCAACTGAACCACAGCCAAAGTGAAGAGAAAATAAATAAAGGTGAAAGGTTACAAAGACACAACAAGACTTGCTATCTCATTTCCTCCTTGAATGAGGTGTTTGTGAGGGACAGGGCAGTAAAGTTAATTAACTGCACCTGAGATGGATGGGCTTCGTGGTGCAGTTTCCCAATTGTCAGGAGAAGTCACCCTGCTCTCCATTTTTTCAACTAATTACTATTAGGAAGCAAGTGATCTTTCTCATCAATTGATTACCCTTCCTTAATGTCAAGGGTATGAAGGCTTCCTGACTTTCCTTGTTTTTCCCCTTTGCTTTGCTGAGAATTATCCACCATCTACCAGTTATCTGTGGTCACTGAGTTACGCTCCCATCCTTCCAGTCAGTAACAAAATCTCCTTGGGCTTTGCCACACTCCAGGAAACAATTAGCTGTTAGCAAGTTGTTGTCCAGTGTCAGTAAATAAAGCACTAGCAAAGCTGGAAGCAGTGATTAAGTGAGATTATCCTGCCTCGTGGGCCCTGTAGGGTTGCCTGAATGGTTTACATCCATGTCCCCAGTTACAAGAGGCCAAAGCAAAGCTGAGTAGTTCAGAAGAGTGCACTGAACTTAATATTTTAAATGTATTTAGGATTTGAAAAATGCAAAGTTTATAGCCTCCTTAAGAGTATAGAAGTGGGCAGATTCCCATATAACAAACAAAATGTGTGGACTTAAGGCAAAGAACAGGCAACCTGAGCAGTGTTGTAAACCCCCTATACTGACTGAGGAGGTTTTCTGACTTACCTCTGGGAGAAATAGTGGAGAGGATTCATAGTTAGGGAACTGACACCATAACAGTATGTATTCTCTCTTCTGCAGGGTGCATTTTTGTCCATTAAAGAAAAGAATGGTTTATAGATTGAGCTGACAATTCCTTTACAACATTAATAACTCCCTTAATTACAAGCTGATAATCCAAAAGCATATCCCACCGCTACCATCAGGTGATGTACTGAACACGCTGTCCTGTGCCTTCTGGGGAGAACTGAGGGGGATGTTTCCACAAGTTGCTCTTTATGACTGCAAGCAGACATGTAAAGCCAGCTTTGATAAAAAAGCTTTATTGTATGCCCTAAAACAGTTTGTCACAGCAACTGTAAATACCAGAACATGGTATAAATCATTTTATGGTACCAGAAGCATTGTACTTAAAAGAGTAATAGGTGCCTAGCTCTGGATGCTTCAAAATATTCTGTGAAACCTTACCTCTGAAACTTGTTAATTTAGGCAGGTTTCATCCTTACTGAAGTGCCACTTGCTGATGATCTTCCAAAAACAAAATTTAAATTCTGAGTCAGGAATTAAATGAGAAAAATATTTTTCTCATTTGTTACATGCAGTCATTTTGTTCCCCCACTTCATATTATTCTCACACATAAAGTCATCATGCCTCATTTGTCTATATATACTTATGATCTTAAGTACATAATAAATATTTTTAATCCTTTCTTTCAGGAGCCTACACTTTCTGACACAAGTTCCTCAAATTCTCATGATTCCCAGCTCACATCTGGAGATCTCAATACAAAGCAGCAGGTAACTGTAAAACCAAGCACTGTTATATCCTGTACAAGCGTCTATGTAATCTGTTGCACACTTCATGCTTCAGTTCTTAGCACAGGAATTAGATGATCCCTTTCCCTTCAGCTAGTCCACGACAATGTGTTTCACAGATTGTCAAATCCATTTCATTACAACACTTCCCATTTAAGGAAAAAATGCCTTTGCTCATTTCAAGTCTTAAAGCAGAGTATTTTCACAGGATGTGGTAAGCAGTAATGATGAACTAGGAGAGGCATGAGGACTGGGTTTTGTCTTTTAGAACGAATGTTCTGTCTTTATTCCTGTCCTGTTTCTCAGCCAGTCCATTCACCGCTCTGCTGTTGAATGTGTCTCAGTGCAGAAACTCTCATTTATTGTAGCAAATGAGCCAGTAAATCTAATATGTCACAATCTCAAAGCCAAGCAAAAAACATGGGGCTGAATCTGCCACCAGAGTAAATCTGCTCAGCTAGAGAATATGCTCTGTACAGTTTTGATTAATATCAGGTGAGGATATGACCAAACTAGTGCAGATCTTACCACTAAAGCTTTATTGTGCAATTCATATAGATTTATTTGTGTGTGCCGATAGCGTGGGAGCACTGGTCATAGTGCGTATAAAAACTGGGATGATGCTTTCTTTTCTTCTCCCTGTAAAAGTCAATTTGTTGCTTGTGTGCCTCTTCAGCTTTCATGCCTCCTTCTCTTGGAGACACATTTAAGAATAAACTTCAGGGATTTTCCGTGGCTAGGAGAACCTACTACATTAGCCTGGACCAGAATTCAGTTAACTGCCAAGAGGAAGTTTTATATGAATGAATATATGTCTTGGGAAGTAATTTTCTTGCCTTGAGTAAAGAGGGAAATAAAATATTCTCTATACGGGCAGATCTAACCACCATATCCCTCCCAAATATCTTTGTCCCAGTCATACAGGACTAGTGTCCTATGTCATCAGTTTGATGATAGAACCATTTAAGTTGGAAGGTCGTTTAGTCCAACTCCCCTGCGATGAAGAACTAGATCCTGCTTTTCTACTGGAGGGCAGAAGTAACAAAACACAAGCCATCATAGCAGAACAGATGATTCCACAGACTCTTTATCTCTACTTGTGATCAAACTCTGATTGAGGTAGCCAAGAGAACGTGAAAAATATTGTCATAAATTCTCAGGGAAAGGAGGAATTGATTTCTTTAGATTTCCATCTCTGAGTAAAGTCTATACCATGGTCCTGTCTTTCACCCTGTAATTTGCCTTCTGGAATTTCTTTACATCCTGAAGATACATTGTCAGCACATCCAAAAAATGCTAGCATTTTCTCTACAAGACTTTTCTGTAGTTGCTTCTTGCCTTCATGCCAGCTACCGTATGCAATCAGGCTGCATTGAGGATGAAAGGTATTTTTAAAAACGGAGAACCTAAAACTCTATTGAAGCTCTCTACCAATCTCCACAGTTGTGTTACAGCTGTGCAATAATTTCTTAGACTCATTATAACTGAAGCATTTTATGACCATATTATGCAGTCCAGCAGTTGCCAATGTTGAGTCTTCATTCACTTGTAAATGATACATCATCTGCATTTCCACATGCATAAGAAAATGATTCTATTAATATGATTACACTTCTGATGTTTTCTAACCAAGGCAGCCTGTCGTAGCATCTGCAAATCCCAGAAAACAAACAAAAAAAAACCAACACAGTTTTCCCTTCATTTTCACTCATTTTAACTTCACTGTTTGTGTTCCAACTTCCAGGGAGGAGAGATCAGTCAAGTAGGAGATGAGAAGATGACTGTAGTAGCACCTGTATCCCATCAGATGAAGAGCAAATGTGATTGACAGTAGAAACCTCATGAGGGAATGGAGAGGAAAAGCTTGAGGATGCCTTTCCCCTGGTATTTTGCCTCAGTTTCCAGTGGAAACTCAGATTTTGTGTGTTAGAAAAAGCATATGTTCAGTACAGCTTAGCAGCTGTAGTAAAACATTTCTTCCACTGAACATCCCATTTATTTAGAGCCCAGGCCTGATTTTGTTTTCTTGGAAAAAAAAAAACATTACCTTTTTCTTCAGACAAAGAGACTAATACCTTTGATATTGATATGATATCTGTGAATGTCCTTCTCTTTTTGTTCGTTAGTACTATCGCTTCCTCTTTGAGATAAAGGGACTGCTAGATACCATAATGAAGATTCTCCAGATTCTTTCTTTCATTGGTTGTGGATGGTTTTTTTTTTCTAATATTTCATACAACTTTTTTTTGTTGTTAACAATCAGGCTCACCATCTGTAATTTGTTCTTTTTACCATTTCTATAAATTATCTGGATGCAGGACTTGAAGTCATACCAAGTAAGTTTGCAGATGTTAAATCAGGAGAAGCTGCTTACTCCCTGAAGGGTGGCAAGGTCTTGCAGAGAGATCTTGACTGACTAGACCAATCAGCAATTGAATGAAGTGTAATAAGAGCAAGTGCTGGATTCTGCACTTGGGACAGGGCAACCTTGGATATGTGTACTGACTGGGGCATGAGAGTCTGGAGAGCAGCCCCAAAGAAAGGGATCTAGGGGTTCTGGTTGATGGCAAGTTGAATATGAGTAAGCAGTGTGCCAAAGCAGATTTGGTGAAGGTTCTGGAGGATAGGACATGCTATGAGTGGCTGAAACCACTTGGTTTGTTCAGCCTAAAGAAGAGGAGACTGGGGGGACATTTCAATACTTGAGAGAATGAGGATGGCTGCTAGAACTGAGAACGTGCATAGGGCTGTAAAAAGTTTCTTGGAAAAGGACATGTTTCCAACATCTCTTCTGCCTTTGAAACTGCATGGTACATTTTGAGCAGCATGTTGGGATGTCCTTGAAATGTCAAACCTCCCAGACATTAGAAACTGTATAGAAACCATCCTTAATAGCAAATAACTGAACAGAAACTTGATTCATTTTATTCAGCTCCATGCAATGAGGAAGTGGGTAAGAAAAATTTCATTTCATAGGATTAAACATTTCATAGGACTAAAGCAGAAGTCCCAGGGCCCAGAAACTCTACTACAGAGTTGCACGTTGCTGTGTAAGGTCCTTTTACACTGCAGTCTCTGTTGTCCTGTACCTTGGGATGCTTCAGGCACTGAGGGTATAGTGTTACTCTCATTTAGTCATGGTTTTGCTCTGAAGCAATCATTTTATTTTCCTGATTTGTCTGCAAAGAAGAGAAGGGCAAAAATGTCAATACTGCTTTGTTTCAGAACTGCTCTCTTGCTTGTCCTTTGTACTCCCTGCTCTCTGTTGATTTTTTTTTCCCTCAACATCTCATCTGACTGCTTATTCCCTGAAGCGAAAATGCAAACCAGGCCTTGTTCACCTCCCAAACTTCTTAGCATTTCTCTCTTTTTGTACAAATCCTTACCAGCATTAAGTGTTCTATCTTAATATTCCTTTGTGTCTACCTCAATGCTGCTCAACCTCTCTACTGTTGAATTCCACAAATGGCTGTTTTACCTTTACCTTCTTTCTTCTGTTTCTATTTCTCAAGAACTCACTGTTCTCTTTTCCTTTCCTATACACTATTGTAATTATTTTTTTCCAATTGGTCATTTATGCCAGTATCAACAAATTTGTCACAAAGTACCACCTGCTTTCTTCCCTGTGCCCTTTATAAAATCTATACAAACCACAGAGAACTGAGTCAGAAATTCCTGAAAACCTCACAAACCATTAAGTAGGAAGATTTAAACAGGCAATAATAGCTGGAGATTTAAAATATTCATTGACTTATTCATTATGAGGATGGAGTCATGAGGGGCTGGCTATAAGTGGCAAAAGCCAAACAGCAGAGATGCAGAATGATTAATCAGGCTGTGAGTGAGGTAATGAATATCACATTTGACTTTCTTTCTCTAACAGAAATCAGATACCAGTTCTATATAAGCTAACACCAGTCTGCGCCATGTTTATTCCTGCCTCTGTGTTGTGCCCCTCACCCTGGTGGGCTACACACACAGACATAGCTGGAGCTATATGAGAAACACTTTTTGCAGTTGAAAGCTGCATTTGAAAGTTCCTTATGCAAAAACATGTTGCTTAGGATGGATCAGGGCAGGCAAAATCCTACTAAACTCTAATTCTTGAAGAAAGCACTGCTGGGAGGAAACAAACTCAGATAATCACACAGTATTTTTATGTGGAATTGAAAGGTCTGGTGAAGTCTGGATGAAGACTGGTCCAAAGTTCCTTGTATCTAACAGGTAATTGCTGAAGCCATTGAATGGTTATTGTGGGTACATTCATTTCATTCTTACAGTTTAATATTTTTATTATATGCTCAGAGTTTCAATCTGAGTCTGTGTTTCATAAAGTCTCGAGGGACTTGGACCTCTAGAGATTTTAAATACAAGCAGCATAACTCCCCAAAGATTTCCACACACAAAAAAAAAGTATTGTCTTAAATCAGCAAGGACTTTTTCCCTTAGAGAAGGCAGCAGTGGTAAAATCAACATTAATCCTGCCTTGCTACTCTCCATTCTCGGCAGAGAAGTCCCACTGAGTTATAGTATGAAGCCAATTTTTTTTTATCTTGTTTTAATATCTGCCAGGAAATTGTGAAGAAAAAGTTACCTTTCTTTACTAGCTAGGAAAAAAAGAGTTAATAATTTACAGAAAGTTAATGGAGGCTATTCCACCTGGCGTATTAAATAAAAGAAGAAGAAGCATCCTAACCATCTTAGCATTTTTGCTTTACTGCTCTGTCAGAGGGTCCTTGGACAAATGCTGCTCTGCACTGTCCTGTAGGTCTGTATCAGTGGAAGATCCATCTACCAAGGCCACTTTCAATATATACAGATCTCCAATGCTACAAAAATGTCTTCACTGGGCAAAAGCTGAGATTGACTCAGCTGGAAGTTTTATTATTGGGATCATTATGGTTGCGCATTACCAAGCCTGGTAAATCCCTGGTAAAATTAACACACAGGAGAGAGACGTTTCCTGCTGGGCTGTGTTTTCTATATATTTGGTGTCAAATGGAAATGGGTTATTTTGCTCTTCTCTCAATTGAATGCCAGCATTCCAAAATAGATGCTGCAAACCTGTATATTGACTATTTTCTTCACCATAAACTGGAATAGAGCTCTGAGGGATGCTGGACAGCCACAGCAGCCTGGGAGTTAAATGGGCTCTCTGATGTGATTTTTCAGAAATTACTTTCTCCATTTCACTCCCACACCCTGCAATCAAACAATGAAGTTGCTCTAAGACACTACATGCTAAGAAAGAGACAATGTTTTCTTGGAAGCAAAAAATAAATACAGCACTTCTCCTGCAACATCCTCTCCAGTCCCTTGCCCAGCTGCTAGTAATAAGCTCTGCAAAGCAAGTATTGGGGCTTGAATGTGGAATGAAAAGAAAGAGAAAGAAAGGAATGGAGTCTTCGAAGGTTACTTGCCCCCAGAGTGATTTGCATTTGTTTTCTGTGCTGGGGACAATCAAGAAAATCCAGTGACGACAGCAAATACGTTGTAACACCAGTGTCAATTTTCTTTCGAGGTTAAAGCTAGCATTGTTTCTTTCAACTTCCTAATGATAGCAAGATACATTCACCACTCTCTTTCTGAGAGTGGATTTTTAGGTTTTTCGGATGATCTGTGATTTCTAACTAATTCTCTGAATAACTCATAATTATTGTAGAACCCCAGTTTCCCATTTCATGGGATCACACATGGGGATCAATATGTTGACCAGCACACTGATATTGCTATTGAGTCTTCAGTTTCAGTAGCCCTCAGTAGCCTTGGTTATGTGGCCCCACAGCTCTGTCCTTGTAGCAAATAGAGGTGCGTCAGACCTGGGCTCCATCACAGCATTCAGGTGGGGCTCACAGCCCCACGTCACCTCTCTTTGTAGCTAACCACCTTCTGCCTGGAGCCTGTAGATTTCGTGTCCTTCTGCAGCACACCAGCACTTAAGGCAAACTTAGAGCCATCAGCATCAAACACTTCATCCTGGAGGGGCTCCAGCTCAATGCAGCCTGCAGCTCCCACCCCAACAGAGCCAAGGTCTTTAGCACCAGTGCCAAGGGTACAGCAGCAAGGGGCATCTTGGAGGTGGTTGATCCAGGCAGGCAAAGCATGCTGAACATGGGGGACTAGAAGGTAAATGCTCTAATTCTGTCCCCTCTCCCCCTTCACTCTGCTCTAGCCTGCTCGTCTTTCAGGATGTTGCATTATAAAAGCAAATACCTGGAAGTCAGCATGAAACACATCACCTTTTTCTGGTGTACGTGATCGCTAGCACAAGCCCAGAGCAGGTTGTTATAACAGAAATTTTCTCAGATAAATCTCCTAGCCTGTTTTTTGCTCTAGTTTTCTTTCAAGGTACAGCATCCTCATGTATTAGGTTGTAATTGTGCCCCACAAGAACACCACTGTTTCCTGCTCCAGATCTGTTCTTTCTGAGTTCATTTTTTCCTCTCTTAAGTTGCAAATGATGCCCACTGAGCTCTGCGAAGAGAAGCATAATGGACTGCTGTTAGGCTTCGTTTTAGAGATAAACAGAAATGGAGAATATGCCAAAAGGAACAACCTTGAATTGGCTGAATTGGCCACATTACACAAGAGTCATTTTCAGGAAAGTCTGTCCTTCAGGGCCTGGCTGAGTTCACACGCTGCAATTCACAGAACTAGTGTTATTAACGGAAAGCATTCCTGCTCTGCCTGCACTCAGGAGTCAGCAGCAGATTGCTGTCCTCACAAGGCTCCCAGGGGATAGGCTTCAAGCCACTACTTCGGGTGGTTTATCAGACTTCTGCTCTGAGATAAAATGACAGAGTGAAAAAAAGCATTCTGTTATTTCATGCTCTGCTCCTCCTGGATCACTGGAATCGTTTCTTTCCTGTACCTTACACACAATTAAATGCTATTTCCAAAATTTGTTGTAGTTGCTATAGGACACTAACAATAACACAAAATTAATTTGTTTAAAGAAAAAATAAATTCCAGTATGTGATCTCCAGAAATACTGTATAAAGATTTATCTTCTAGCTTTTATGGCTACTATTTAACTCTAGATTTCAGGGTGTTCATTTATAATTCACAAACATCTCTTATCTGATTTAGTTTAGCTCCACCAAGCAAAACTGCAGTTTCAGAGGACACAAACAAAAGTACAGAGTTGGAATTTTTAAAACTCCTTTCCTCTCTCTATCAGAATTCATACTTTTAAAATG